GGTTACCTTTTTTTTATTGTTCATCTAAATATTTTTCTGCTTAGTACTGTCTTACTGTTGGGATGATAATCACGTCTTTTGACTGTCAGACTTTTGAAGATGTTTCCTTACTTGAGATTCAGGCGTTATTATGCAAGACCTTATTGTGAAAGAACTTAAAACGGCAACAAAAGAAAGTACTTCCTTATTGTCACTCAGTTACAAAGCATCTTTACTTTTCTCAATTTCAACTAATTATATCGCCTTATATTTCCTCCTGAAAAAGTACCTTTTGAAATAATAGCTCTCTCTTCTACTTCTCCAGCAGAGGGCAGTACAGTGCTGGAATGTCTAGAAGATGTAGGTCAGGGCGTTGATGCTTGCTTTGTGTCTGTGTGAGTCTGTAGCTACAGGCAGATTCATTTTTGTTTATCCTTAGTGTAAGCGAAAATGAATCGTTTACACTGCAGTAAAAATGACTTCAAACAATTGGCTGTCCAGCCTGTTCTATGTTCAGTTTAAGGATCTTCAAAAAAGACACTGAACCCGTACATATCCTGATGTTCCTCTGATGTGAGACGGTGAGCATGGCAGAGAGGAAGAAGACTTCTACTTGTGAATATCTACATCAGGCATTCTAATTTCCCGAAATGACTTGGACTGTTGTTTCTTAGAGCTCCAAAAGCCTCTGATCAAAAGTTTTGTTATTAGGGATGGGGATTTATCACATTTCACATCTTTAAGCATTTATCCTGATAAAGTTCTTATCATGATAAGAATTTAAATGTATTGTTGTCAAAATGAATTCCAATTAATGATGTTTAAAAAAGGAGCATTGGATAGTTTTGATCCCCACTTTTATCATAATCACAGTAAAACAATAAAAGTTTAAGCCCATAAACGCCCACTTATAGTTGTTACTACTGTGCTGTTTTAGCTCTTCATCTTTGTATTTTTCCAATGCTGTCACACTGAACAGACTCACCTTCTTATCAAATTCTGCTGCTGAGAAGTTCAAATGATTTCCATCTTACTCCAACACACATTTAGCTGTAGCTCAAAAAGAGTTTGAACTTCTACAACATTGGTTTGGTTCTCGTCTTGTTTCATTTCTGCAGCACGAAATGGTGACACAGAAAGAGGAAGGTAACCAATGTCAGAGGGAACAGTTGGAACGTTTTCATTTAGAGACAAGTGCTAAACGAGCCGGCCTGTCTGTTGCCTGTGGGGACGGTTGGCATTTACTCTCTGAGCTGCAGCCAAGCGGAAGAACGTTACTGGGTCAGTGCCTTCTGAAATCCCACTGCCGCTGCGAACGTGACTGTCTACTTTATAATGGGAGTACTGTAGTACTCCCATTATAAAGTATAATGGGAGTACTATCTATCAATCTATCTATTTATATATATATATATATATTTTTTTTTTTTTTTCCCCAAGCAAAAAAGAAAAAAAAAACTTCAATATGACTCAAACTCTGAACTTCATATTTTGTTACACTGCAACCACAAACATTCATGTATGTTAGAGTTATTACATACACAGATAGATTAGTTCATGGAAGGGGCTTGGTGAGCAGTTTTCAGCTTTAATGAGCGAACTCGATGGAGGCTAACACTTTGACATCATACGTGTCTTTGTCATAAATTAGCATTTATGATGAATTTAAGGAAAATTGTACATAGGCTTTAAGGCTTGGTGTGAAAATGAAGCATGTTTGTGGAGAAGGACCTCTTGCCTACAGCTGATGATGTGTGATGCTCCGGGGCCTTTTTGTTTTCCAAAGCCACTGAGAACCATGTTAGAGTGTTTGACTTTATGAAACCCTGAAAATATCAGCAGATTTTTTTAAGAAAGAAGTTGGCCTCTGTCACAAAACTGAAAATAGACGTTCAGCTGCCTGATTGAAATCCTGCTGAAGAGAAGGGAGCATAAGACAGGACATCAGACTCTGGAGAGATTGTGGAGGACCGTCACTTATTACTCTTTGTATGAACTATTTATGAATACACAATGTTAGAAAAACATGTAATAAAACATATGTGTGCAATAGAATAAGCAGTAAGAAGTCAGCTAAATAAAGTTGTTATATTCTTTCTCCTCTCAAATTCTCTCTACCTTGGCCTGAGAATGAGCTCAGGGTCAACAGGGACAAATACATAACAGATTTTGCCTCATTTGAGAATGTATGTTTTTCTAATTTTAGGATAAAAGAGCTGGTTCCTGGAATGAAGTAATCAAACACAGCAGCTTGTTCCCAGAGTCAAACCTGCGCTCCTGTTTTACCAGATTGATATTCCAAGACAATAAATATTCTGTCCTAGTGACATCTCACTGCAACAGTGTCAATTAAAGTGATCTCTGAATCAAGCCTTGCCTTGTGTTAATATATTTATGCATGGGAGTCTTTCTGGGTTCATACTTCAAAAGCCTTTGTGTACCACAGAGGAAAAACTTCCAATTCCAAAGCAAATAACTTTCCTGTGAGTAGATAAAGGAGCTGGTGGGAAAGACAAAACCCCGTGCTTATTAATATTACAATTCCCCACTCTGATCTCAGCGAGATGGAGATTTGGACCCCAAAAAAAGCCTGTGAGAACATTTCCATTGCTGGCCTCAGAACAACAAACAGTGAGACAGGAAGGTGCTGCCTCATATTAGAGCATTGTTTTGGGCAATGGCCTGGTTCCCCTTTCAGGACACTCCCACTTCTAATCATCCCATCATCAGCTGATGTTAATCCACTCCCTGATACCTTCCCATCCAATCACAGCTTGAGTTAAAAGTAAATTCAGTTTTTGAATTTACCTTTTGAATTTACTTCCTCATATATGCTGTCACAGAAAGGCAAACAATAACTTAATGTTATCTGTCAATGTGTCAGTGAAGCACTAATGAGATTCTAATTGGATTGTAGAGATTGCTGACCATACTGAACTTTCTAAACCTCCTGCTGATTACAGGAGAGTGGCTGACCAGACAGTAGAAGTTCAGGCAACGTGTCCCATTCATTTGGCTCTGCTGTTGTTGGGAAGGTCTCTGCCAATCATTTACATTTTTGTACTCAAAATCCTACACTCTAAAGAGCATTTAACTGAAATATTTTATATTGCATACATTGTAATTTTGTGCATATTGAAAAACCTTATTAAATGCTACAAAACCATAAAGAATTATATGGGATCACGTCCCTGCCAAAACATCCCTAGCAGCTCATGAAGCAATCCCAGCAGTGCATATCTTACTCTTTCCACGGATGTACTTGTCAGTTGGCTCCAGTGACTTTTCTGATTGATCTTATTGGAAGGGGCAGTGCTAAGGAGTGGCAAGGGGCATAACTCACTGGCAGTGTACACTTCTGGAACAAGCAGTTCCTCTTCAAAACAGGTGGTGGCAGCAGTGAAATTTTAAAATGCTGCTATAGGCCTTCAAGGAAATGTTATGTCTGCAGCAAAACATCAATATATGGATGTTTTGCTGCAAAACAGACGATCGGTTCTTGGCCACCACTGAGTGAGCAGCAGAGTCAACAGACGGGTGGAGGGGTGCGTTTTACCACTTGTCATGCTGTGTTCATGGAGTTATCTACTTTACTGAATAAATGCCCCATTGCAGTTGCCTGACAAGCTCTGTAGAGCAGAGTATCTGTTTTCCTCAATTAAATTTGAAGTCAATACTTCCTTTTATCCAGATAGGTGTTGATATCGGGGTAAAATTTAACATCGATACCAAGTGGATATTAGTATCAGATTGATACTAACAAAAGACTGATACTTTAGTTTCACATACCCTCTTGAAATGTTATTTTCTTTCATTGTAGTTATATGAAAATAGAAAAGGTTTATCTTTGATTCGCTCTCAAATAACTTTGACACTTTTTCAAACTTAAGACACAATGCTGACAATGTTTTTTTTGTATTTCTATTGTTTCTGTTTATCTTGTTAGCATATCACTAAAGTATTTTGTAGGCAACTGAAAACCTTATCCAAATCCTGTCCTGAGTTTTAACCAAAACACTTGAAAAGTTAAACAATGAAAACACCTAGATGTCAGAATATTGATATTTAACCTTAAATAAGCATCGGTATTTATATTGGGGATACATGGTAACAGACACTCCAAGACCCTTGCCTGTCATGAATCGTGGTTTAGATGGTGAGGCAGAATGCAGGCAGGACCCAGGTAGAAGTGAAAGTAATGATTTAATGATGAAAATGTGGCTCAGACAGTCCAGGATACAGGCTGCACGGCAGAGCGGAAGCTAAGGCTCAGCACCGGTAGCTAACAGCATCAATAAACTGACTTACTAGAGCTTAAGCCAACACAGGACTTAACAGTACAACTGTGACGACTAACTGTTACAACAAAACGTGACAAACAAGACGACTGACTGACACAAGACAAGGATCTGACAAGGGACAAAAACAACAGGTGGACTTAAATACACAATCAGGGTAATCACAGCAGACGAGACACACCTGGGAACAATCAAAACAGGACAGCACAGACTCACAGAAACAGAATCTAAGTAAACACAGAAAAACTCAAATCCTCACATCGCCATGTAGTTATTCCCTAAAGTACAGGCAGACTGCACTGCCTAAAATTGTTTTTCCTGCACCTAATTATGAACTTTAGTTTCATGAATTTGCTCCCATGTTACTCACTTACAACCCTTCTCCTCTGAACAAGACAACACAGGTTTTAATGTGAATGTCTTTATTCATTCCTACTCAGGGGTTTTTGGGTCATTAGTGTCTACTTATCATGGCTCATTAGTTTCCTCATTTTGTGAGGGAAGAAAACAATAACCCTGTTTGCTGCTAACAACATGACATACAGTTCATTTAGTACTTCCTATTTGTTTTTCTCTAACTCTGGACAGTGGCTGGTGCCATATTGCTGTTCTTACAAGTTCCAGCACAGGTGAGGAGTTTTTTTTGTTTGTTTTCCTCCAGAGGATTATGTAGACCAGGAGAACTCCTCCCACCCTGTGGGACTGCTCAGTGGGACGGACACTGAGGCCAATCTGCTGATGTGCTGCCTCAGCGCTAGACTTATAAGAGGCTTTGGGAGACAGGCTTAGCACTAGGCATGGATGCCTTTTTCAACTTTCCCTCTCTCCACTTCTCTCCTGCAAATTTTGTCTATTTACTAAACATCACAAGATCTATTTATCACAGAAAAAACTAAAGGTAGGAGACAGGATAAATATTTATTGATATTTTATTTGCATTTCAATATGTGAATCTTTGTAATTGTGATTAATATGACGGAAACAGCCACACTACTCCAACTTGTGTGTTTCTATTTGCATCACAGTAAATGTTTGTGGTAAAAGTGAAAGAAACTACTGTTATTAATAATAATTCTATTTTTCTAAAGCTATAAATTAACTTATCAAAACACTTCTTGAGAACATATTGTGGCATATACGTTGTTTTCTATGTAAAACCTTAAATGTGTAGGTTTATTATTGTGCCAAGTGTAGTTTAAAAACCATTTTTACATTTATCTTATTATTGATTTATTATGCAAATATTGCAGTTAATTATTTCAGCTTCACAGTTTGTCCATGGAATCTGGGTAATGATTCATTTTTTTTCTACATATACCCAAAATGAGCTTTTATCATGTACCAGGTAAATGTTCTGCCTGGGGAATTTTCTGTAAGTTATTCTTTAACGTTCCAGTCAGTCATGTTGCTTATTTACAAGTTTTAGTAAAAATCATGTTTCATTTGATTTTACTGTAGATTTGAATGTATTCATCAGGCCACATTTCACCTTTACTTAATAGATTGATGCCATTTCTGATCGGGACGTATTGCATACTTCATGCTTTCCTTCTGCAAGGTTATCTGGTCAGAATACGTGGTTATCTCATACAAAATACACTATTCCTGGAATGCTTTGAATTCCGGTTTTGTCAAAATCTAACATTTCTGACCCATGAACTTTGGAAAATAACAATGGATGTTTTGTGGCAGACATAAATATAAAGCATATTTTACACTCAGACATTGTTTCCTGTGGTTGAACCATCCACAAATCCACAAATGAATTGGATTTTGTTGAGAAAAACTATTATTTTAAAAGTTACTTCCAACGTTTTCATCCAAAACTGTGCTCCATTCGATTTCTTCTAAGCAAATTAAAAAATTATCAAAGAAAAGCATGGTGGGAATGTTTCAGAAGGAAACATGAGGAATCTTTGGTTTTAATTAGTTCTCCACTTAATTTTTGCATGATTTTTTGTAAATGTTATTGCAACCTACTGGTGTGCCATTAGTAATAGTTTTTGTTAAAAGAAGGTGAAGCAGTGGAGCTGGTAAAATTGCTGAGTATAGTTTTGCCCATTTTAAAAATACAAAGTTTAATCATGTTTTTTACAGTGTCCTCTTGAAATTCAGTCCTACTTACCTGTGTTTGGGTGAACAATCTAAAAATAGTTTATCACCCGTTTTGAATACATTATTTACATTGAACATGCCAAGTAACTTCTCTGTTCTAAGAGCAATGCTTAATATTTTTGCTCAAATCTTTTTAATTCTGGTTCCACAAAGACCAAAAGATAAATCCTAAAAGGTAGAGTTAAGTTTGAGTTTGAGTTATGCGTTTAAACTAATTAATAACCAAAAGGTTCAGACTCATTGGCTAATATGAGTTTAACTCTGATCTTAACATCTTTCAGAACTGATATTGAAATCATATTGCCCTGACAAGGAAACAACAAGAAGAATGTCTCAACTCCATGTATTCAGTTGTTCATTTTTGGTATAAACTTTGTCCAGGTCAGACTGGCATAGTCTTGGAGCTGATCCCAGTTAAAATGTTTTATCAAACATTCAGTCTATAGATTATACTGGCTATACCTTAACTATAGCCAGTATAAGTCAGTCTTTGGTCAGATGTTTTGCTATATCATCTTCAGTGGGCTACAATGTCTGTATCAGCCTCTTTGCACTTATTTGTCCTTGGTGGACGATGAGATTGAGTTAGTCCTTGAATTCTAGAAGAAGTTATATGTCTAAGACATAAGTTCATGTTTATATGGTGTACGTTTATTTGTTTGTTTGGTAATTTGTTGATTTTAGCCTAACTTCCGCTGTTTTCTCTCAACAGGATGCCATTACTTTGCCTGTTCACCTGGCTCTCTCTCCGTCTTCTACCTCCTAATGTGGATAAACCTTTGAAGAGTCTTTAGCTCTGTAAAACATCAGCTTTGAGCACTGTGGGTGCATGAGCTGTGCAGCAAAGGAAATAAAGAGCAGGAAAAGAAAAAACCGAGATGAACCCAACTGACGATTGGCAGGAGCAATATCCCCTCAACTTTTTGTCTCAGGGCTGCTAAACATAAAATACATCTCTTTCCCATTCCGAGACCCTCACAGGACTTCCAAAGTACCCCTCAGAGGGGTGATGCCAGTGTTGCTTAATGCCGACGCCTCTTTTAGCTCCAGGCAGGAGCTCCTGGACCTTCAGGACTGTCCACTCAATGGGGGCCGCTCTTTGGACACCCCTAGTCCCGTGGACTCCCAGACAGGAAGCCCTATCGGGTCTGGTCCTAGAAGCCCTGGCGGGCCAGGAGCTGATGACCTCACTGGAGCCCTTATTTTCACAAGGGCATCGATGCTGCCGGGGCAGTTATATGGAGAGAGCAGTCAGCCTGACACAGAGGTTCCTTCAGGGTCGACACTACAGCCCAATGACTCTGATCAACTGTGCGGTTGGGGGGCTCTGAAGCCTAAAATCATCCAAGTGTTCAACACCCCTCGTTGGGTGCTGTTCTTTCTTTGTGTGGCCTCTTTTCTCCAGGGAATGATAGTCAATGGCTTGATCAACACGGTGGTGACCTCCATCGAGCGACGCTTTGACCTGCCCAGCTATCAGGCTGGTCTCATTGCCAGCTCCTATGACATTGCTGCCTGTGTCTGCCTGGCCTTTGTCAGTTACTTTGGTGGTACTGGACACAAGCCCCGCTGGCTGGGATGGGGCGTGCTCATTATGGGGCTGGGTTCCTTGGTGTTCAGCTTGCCTCATTTCACTGCTCCTCCCTACTTGGTCAGCATGCAGGAGCAAATAGGAATGTGTTCTGCCAACAGCACCAGCCAGTGCCAGAACAAGGAGGGAGGAGGACTGTCGAGTTATCGCTTTGTGTTCATGCTGGGACAGTTTCTGCACGGTATCGGCGCCACGCCTCTTTACACATTAGGGGTCACGTACCTGGATGAGAATGTCAGCTCCAACTATGGACCTGTTTACATGGGTGAGTGTCGTGTACAACCCTGTGCTGTGTTTGTGTGCAACAAATACACAGCGTATGTTTATTAAAACTGATCATAAAAAAGAAAAACAGTTTTGTGTAAATTGACAAACCAAAATAAATATGCTTTCATGATACTAGAAAATCTATGTCATAAAAAGGAACATCTTTTTCTGTCCATATGTAAAAAAAGCCTTTTTCTTTCTAAATGATACAAATTCTAATTTCTGAAAAAATGTGCATGTTTTTTATATTTATTTGTAGAAGTAACCTTTTCTACTTCACTGCATATTATTGATAATGATTCAGTTGAATACACATAATTTAAAATTAATATATTGGTACTATAATCCTTTTTGGCTTCTAAACCTTATTTATGGGCTCTAACCTGAGGTTATTGAACTGGACTTAATATGACGAAAGCACTGATCCTTTTTTGAGTTTTTGAAATTTGTAAAATAATTGTTTCGGTATGACTCAAACTTCTACAATTTGAGTTGTGTAATAAATTCATTCCTAAACACAGAATGCTCACTTTCATCTTAAAAGCAATTCCAGCGTTAGGACTCAGAATCGCTTATGTATGTGCTTTCATAGCATCTCATTAGGTTTTCTGCAGCATTTGTACCTAAAATGATGTGCATCCATTTTTGTGTTTTCCTGTATTCATTCATTCATTCATTCATTCATTCATTCATTCATTCATTCATTCATTCATTCATTCATTCTAATTGCAGTGGTCTTACAGAAGGTGATCACTGGATTTAGGTTCAAAGGATTTAGACACTAACAAACTTACACAATATTTACTCTCAGTATCTTGTTTCCAATAAGTGCCAAGTTGTCATAGTTTCATTTCATATATTTGTCTGCCATCAAATATACAGAATCTGTTCCCATCAAACACAAACACACACAATGCAGAACGCCTTATTCACCAAAAATTGTTTTCTTTATTAAAAAAATGACCCCTCCTCTGATTCAGAGCTCATAAAAAGAACAATGGGGGCCTTTTAACCTGCGGGACAGGAGGTGAGTAGGGAACAGGAAGTAGTTGTACTGGCACACCCTGATTCTGTCTTTGGTGTTTGTCTCACCAGGGATCTTCTACACAGCAGCTGTTGTGGGGCCCGCTGCAGGCTACCTGCTGGGAGGTTACTTCCTCACCATCTACACAGAGACTCATCTGGCGTGAGTTTATTTGAGTGACTAACAATATAACAGGATTAAAATGATGAGGGGGGAAGAACAGAATTTTACTGACTATTTAATACTGGATTGTGTCTTATTGCAACATGTAACGTGGCCTAGCAAAAGTTGAAAAAAAAGTTCTATTATACAGTATACTAGAAAGTATAATAAAGAGTAAGAACTAAACATTTACACATTTTCAGTTGCATTTGGGCTTAGTGGTCTCTACAGTTACATCTCTTTTAATTAGGCGTTAAAGAAAGTAAGCATGCCTTAGGCTTCTGATGATGTCCGAACTTGACTTGCATTAACCAGTCAAAGAGGACAACAAAGTCTTCAAATTGAATTTGAGTTGGTAAAACAAAGCTTGGTACAGCAGTTTTTTTTTTTAGTGGGGGTAAGGAGTTCAGAATGAATGCCTGCAGGCAATAGCTTGGAGACTTAATAGACAAACACCCTATGTAGGGATTAAAAGCACTCACCAACAAGCCCAGTCTGCCTGTAATTCTCCACAGTGGTGAAAGTCTGCTTCTGAAAAAAAAACTGCAGTTCAAAAAGCTTAAACTCTAGCAGAGTTTAATAAATTTCTGTTTCAGAACAGCATTGTTATTCTACATACACAATTGTGTTACCAGGTTACTTCATACAAGTAAGTCATAGTTGTGTAAAACCATTGAAGGGAAGCAGCTAAAAATCTGTTTAAAAAAAAACAAAACATAAAAAACAATAATCACTGCTCAACTTACCAGCAACTCTGCTCCAACTCTGTTGGCACAATGATGTAGCTGTCAAATTCTAAGGATGATCCACATTTTGCTTAAAGTCACTTTAAGCAAATGTTGTGCTATATTTACATTATGTGAACTGGCCAACTGTGATTTATTTATTTTACAAACTTTCAGTATCCATGGTTTTCTGGCTTCAAAGTAGGATTTCATTTGATCTTTAAATTAAATATAAATTCAATTTAAATCTATTTAAATAACATGTATTTAATATACTTATTGCAAAAAACAATAAAGAAATATGCTAATCAACTTATCTGAACTTACATAAATAAAGCTGACCAGAGATCAAAATGCTCCTGTAGATAATGAAAAAAA